ACACACTGCAGAACATAAGCATGCTCATGTACATACATGTTTTGTGATTACCTCTGGGAGGAGACATCCACAAAAGAACTCCACCTCATCATTGAAGGTCAGCTGTGTTTTGATTTTATTAAGAATTCCTCTGATGTAGTCACAAATGATTGACTGGGACTGCTCATTCTCAATGTAGACAGGCACTTGAGAACGGAGTTTTAGTGGAAACCAATTTGACCTTTTCCCACCGAGTATATCCTTTGGGCCATAGAAGGAAATTATATTTCATATGTAAATGCACAAGTAATTAATTATATTTGGCAAATAATAGTTAAGTTGTCACTTGACTATATTTAAGTCAACCATACTCAGTGTCTAGAGGAGTAATTTAAAGTGGAACCATCTATACCACCAAATGCTGCTCTGCTGATTTTGATGTGATAATCAAGTCCATTAATCTTTTGTCATTCCTTTCCCGATCTTGAACTGCTTTGACATGTGCCGGAAGATTGGATGTGGTTTTTCTTTTCACCCTAAAAAGGAGCAGAATCTTTCCATCCAAGACACTTCTTGCCTCCTCAGTCCAGAAAGCAAATCTGTGCCCATAGCTTTTAATAACAAGACAAGACAAAATCCATAATTACTGTGTAACGAGGAGACTGACACGGAGGGATCCATTATGCAGTATTTATTAATCACAACTTCACTCAAACACACAATATGCACCGGAGTGCACAAACACATCCACAGTAGTAGTATGGGTATCAAGACTGATGACGAACAGACACAGAGTGAGTTACCAGGCATGAGTGGAAGGGAGTGAGCAAGAACCAGGATCCGTTATGCAGGCTTGGTTCAAGGGCAGGCAGCAAAGATCAGAGTCCGTATAACAGGCGTGGTTCGTGGGCAGGCAGAGAGAGAGTCAGAGTCCGTATAACAAGCGTGGGTCGTGGGCAGGCAGAAGGCGAAGCAAAGTAAGAGACAGGCTGGAGTCATGCACAGGAGATCAGGCTGGAGATCATGCTCAGAAATGCTGGCCGGGGCTAAACAAGACTTTGCCCTGAACGAGTGCTTGAGTGCGGCTTATAAGAGGTACGTGGGTCATTAGCCAGATTCCAATCAGGTGTATGCGCAATCAGTGTAGATGGATGACGTAATGCTAAAAGTCCGGAGATGGTGGCCTCTGCTGGCCAGCGAGGGGAGTTACTGGGACCGAGTCGGTGACATACTGGTCACCGGTAAGAGAGATTTTAAGTATGTTTTGTTATTCATGTTACAAGTTGTTGTATTGACACAATATACATTTTTAATTTTACAGATTTACAAGAAAAATAAATAAATAAATACTGACATACCCATCAATTTGAAATTGTTCCATGAGTAGAAGGCACCACCACTGACGGATGATAGGTATATCCATCTGAAAGAAAGACTGTTTAGTCTGACAGTTAACCAACATGTTTTTGTTAATACATGATGTTGGGTGTGCTTGCAATAACCATGCCCCTTTTTTTAAAAGATATGTTGCTTAGAAGAAAGCAAGATAATATACACTAAAATAGTTACATTTTAGCTATGATTAAGAAAAGCACCAACCAAATAAAGTTACATAAATAATAAAATAATACCTCCTGGAATTGAAACCCAATGCCACACACCATTGAGAGGGTGTACTGAAAAGAGAGAAGCCACAGTCATTTACAATGTTTACAAAATCTTTAAATCAATTAACTCAATTTATATCTTACCATGAGTACAAAAACACCACAATCATTCCCTCTTGTCTGACGTGGCAAAGCCTAAAATAGGCAAAGCAAATCAATTTTATTTTAGAATAATGTACAAAAAATTTAATTGTTGTAAAAGCCAAATAATAATTTTTTTAAGTTGATTCCTCACTGGAAAATCATATCCAGTCTTTTCAGACCATGTCCCATGATCCACTTGGTAAGCAATTTTCCTGTAAACAAAACATAGTAGTAATACTAACAATTACAGCTCACCTCAACTCTAGAACACCATGCATAAAAAAGGCTAGATGAACATAGCCAGAAGTTCAAGAAACGGCTATAGGAACGTAGCCAAAAGTGGCAGAACTATAATACACGGTTAGGAAATAAATAGAAATGGCTATAGGAACGTAGCCATATATCACATAAAGGCTAAAACATGTCTTAGTTTATTGATAGACCTTAAAATTGCCCTGTATTCTTCATCTCCAAATCATGATTCATGCTCTGCGTACAGAGAGTCTAAAAACACCATCTCTCTTCGAAGCGGCATCATTATCTACAATGTTAAAGGTGTAAAAATATTTCATTTGAACATTATTGCTTCTTCCAAGATTTTTCAGTGTTTTATTTTAGAAACACACACATTGCAATACCAATTAATTTATGCACTAGACATTTCAATATTTTCTTACACAGACAACAAAGCGGTCTGGTCCATTGGCATTTGTCCATGCTGGAAAGGCTAACAGGTCTTTCAAGTCTGCATCTTCCTAGAATTGATCAGGACAGTTATGTCGTTTAATTTAGGTTGTACTTCTCACACAGTAAATACAGTACATACACGCACCGGTAATCCAGTAACAATGTTGTTAGGAGTTTCTTTCCACACAGGGACAACATAAAAGTCCTCAATGTATATGTCCTTGCCCTACATGAATAAAAAGAAACTGTTGACAATGACATGAACATTTTCACACAGTTTAGAAATAGTTTTTTTTTTTTTTTTTTGGATCAAGTTAAAACAATCTATATAAATATTATGTTTTATAGTACATACAATTTGTCGAGCCATTTCACAAATAAGCTTCATGCAGGCGTTTTCAATCTGCAATAAATACTTTGATAAGTCAATGTTTTTAATAAAAAAAAAGTTATAATAAAAAAACAGACTGCTTACATGGGAGTCCATGTCCCTCAACAATCCAAGGCTCCAAAATTCTTCTCGAATAAGGCACACTTGCCCCTCCTTCACAATTATTTCACTGCCAGGGCGATTTCGGTCCAGCACATAATCAAGCTGTAATAATAATAACAATAAATATGTGTGTGTGTGTGCGTTTGTATGTAATTGTAATTGTTCACCCGTTTCTCTTGTAATGGATGCCAGTCCCTCTCCCAAGGCTTAGTAGGTTCCAAAAATTCAGAAGAGTGGTCGGTTCACAAGCTGTTTTTTTCTGTAATTGGTACTGATGACAGAGGAGATGTGACTGATGTTATGCCTGGTGATGCAGCGGTCGTTTGTAAAGTCACAATATTTTCTGGCAGTGCTGTCAGTGGTCCTTAGAGTACATTAAATCATCAAAATTAGAAAATAACACATAATAGTTAGAGAACAGAAACTTGACACTGAGCAACTGGAAAGAACAGTCAAATTACCAAGTGACATGTCCATGCATTTCTCTGTGGAGGATGGATTTTCTATAAATACAAATATACACATAAGTACAGTTATGGATATAGTGATGTATTTGTTACAAAGTAAGGGAAACATTACCTAACACAACCTGGCTGTGGTCATTCATGTGAATGTTTGTGTTGAATTCCTTTTTTATGTCATGAAGACATTTCTCGTTTTTTCTGACAGTGTAATGGTGGATGATGTTTCGCATGAGGAAAACATGTGTGGATGGCAATGCCATGTTCATAAAGTAGTTATTTTTCTTTAGCTTTGAAAAAAGCTGTTCTGCAGCCTGACTGTTAACTTTGCCAGCTAGTTGAGGCACAAGATGAAGCTTCCTCAGTGAATCACGAGGATCTTTTGTGTTGTCTTCGTAAAAGCGGTCTTACAGAACATAGTGTTCTGCAGAACCAGTTATTGGATGACCATCCGGATCTTGACTTTGCTTTTTTGCAGTGAGCCACGGCAGAGTTACCCGTAATGTTCCTGATTTTGCTTTTGCAATATTTTCAGTGGTTGGTCCAAGTAACCTTCCCTCGAAAGGTGTGAAAGTTATGGGTTGCCTCATTTGTGTGGGTGGACAGTCCACGGGCAAAGTCCTAAATAACAACATTAGGCAGATGCTTCCAAGACAGAAGCATATCTGCAAAATCCCGTGGACTTTCTGCCCGCAGATTACGTTTTATACTGTAAACTATACCACAAGGACACATGATGACAGCCCAACCTCCTGGAACAGACAAAAAAGATAAGCAAATAGTTAAGAAAACATAATCAAATCCCATTAATGACATTGGGACTTAAATGACCATAGGTTATGATGGAGGGCAGTGGCATTAACCTTAACAAAGTATACTTTTAAAAAATTTAAAGATGCAGTGTCTCAGAGATGTAAATACACTCCCCCACACGGAAAGCAACAATAGGTGTCAGACGAGGCCACCTCCAACACCCCCCCAGAGCTGTACACCACCAGTCACTCCCCAATCAGTGCCAAGCAGAAAACAGGACCCATTGTGTCTATGTGACTTTGTACATTTCTGATTTATTTGTAATATTTTAATGTGCAACATTGAGGTTTACCTGAAGCAGCCCAAATCTTTTCAAAAACCTTGTCATAGGCCTCTCTTGACCTCATCTCCTCCGAAAGTCGCAGGAGAAGATCTGTGCGAGAGCCTTTGGCATCTAAACCACACTCTTGACACAGTCTTCTTATCACTCCCACCTATCACATAAAACACACATGTTAAATGAAATGCCAACACTGACAAATAATACATATAATTAGCATTAAATATTTTACTTTCTGTTTTGAAAGTTCGTCCTTTAAGCGATCTTCAGAGACAGTTATTTCTGTTCGTTCTGCAGTTTTTGCTTTGTGCACTTTCTCCAATTCAGTGTTGAGAACAATATTCGCTATGCGAGTCTTACTCCCGATCCAGGGTGCCCAAAAGTTATAACTAGGTGTAACACAAAATGGATTGTTTTTTTTTACCTTTAGGACAAACAAACATGTTAGTACATCAGTGAATTTAGATTGTACTCCTGAAAACACTTATGAAATTAAATAATGATGACATGCCATTCCTGATATAATAAATTTCCTTACTTGAAAAAAATCCTCGAGCAATTCGTTCTTCTGTCAGTGCCTTCCAAACATATCTAAATCCACCTCTCCATTAAAATCTTGTGGAGGCTGTGAAAGATCACTCACTAAAGAAAAGAAATACTTACTATAAACTTACTAATAGTTTTACTAATAAGACTTACCTCTCTGCAGTAAAAAGGAAAGATACAGGTGACATGAAAGACACAGATGGATGGTCACCACAAGATACACATGAATACTTGTATTCATGGTCAGTTAGGGCCTCAAAATGCAGATAGCCGTGGAGAAGAATAATTGCTGAGGGGAACTGTACACCTGTAGTTATCTCTAAGTACTCCACTACTCTGCTGACTGCTGTATGCACCTATGATAAAGAAATCAGTTAATCAGTACTTATATAGGCAAGGCAAGGCAAGTTTATTTATATAGCACATTTCATACACAATGGTAATTCAAAGTGCTTTACATAAACAAGAATAAAAGAGACAAGTATAAGAAAATAAAAACAAAGAATAAAAATGATTTTAAAAACAGTTAAAAACAGAAAACATAATAGTCTTGATTTGAATGTACCTAATGTTGCCTAACATAAAATCAACACTATGAAGAAATCCTATTGTTGTAAAAAATAATATATTGTATAACATATAATATATGTATTGTATAACGATTACCTGCAACAGGTTTCTTATGGTGAGGCAGAGAGAGAGTTCAAGGAGGACATGGTCATTGAAGTTATGCAAACCATTAGCCCACTCTTGGTAACGGTACACCATTCCACAGAAAGGACAGAATTTGTAGTAGGTTGAAATATCTGCAGATACAGAATGTAAATTAAATGGTTTGGTATCTTTTTCATAATTAAAATAAAATAAAAAATGTAAGTAACTATTATCCACCTTGGACAATTCCTGTAGTTGTAAGAATTTTCGCTTTACGTGTAATGCAGACAGGATCACTGAGCAATGTGCGGTCTGAGCAGTGGTAGCACATTGTCTCATCAGGGATTAGGTGTTTTGGAAATTCCTTATAGTCTGAAGAAAGCCTCAAATGACTGGGAATAGTAGATGGTAGCTTTTTATTCATTAAGATGTATTCTACTATGCTCTTTACTTTAGCAATGTCCTTTGGAGGGTAATTCTCACTTTCATCACTTTCCTCCATCGCTGCTGCCTGAAATTCTTCAGCGCTTTCAGTGCTCCGAACTTTTCGGAAGAGTTCAGGGTGAATTTGAAAGAGGTGCCATTTTGCTATGTATTTATGGGTACATGATCTCTGGGTTTTTGCATAGGGACAGTGCCATGAATTCTTCTTGGTGTCATATGATACCATAACTCTGCCCAGTCTACTATAATATGATATATTAGGCTCGTAGACCGATATGAACCTTTTTGTTGGTGGGACTCCAATCTTGGATTCAACTGCCAGCCGTCGGTGGTTTGCCGTCTCAGGAATGTCAGGTGCTTGCAGCGGGAGGTTGTTTCGTTAGCGCTTCCGCTTTCGTTAGTGAAGTTCTTTTGCTGAACGTTTGTAGATCCCGTCGTGTTCTTCAAGCTATGTCGTTTGAGCACTGTGCTGATAGGCTGACGTAAGAAAACAGGACACAAAATATACAAGGCAAAAGTGCAAAGCACGGAGCTCTAGGCAAAGGCGGTCCGAACCGCAGCAAAGCAGGAGGTCGACATGTCCAAATAGACCAAATCAGAAACTAAGCAGAGAAAAACGGCATCTGTAGAGAAAGAAAACAGATGGAACAGGTGGTTTGCAAGCACAGGTACGTCTGCTGCAAGTACAGCGCCGTCAGGAGACAGGGGTTGCTGGCCCATTCCCCAAGCTCGGTGGCTGGACATCACCGTCCTGGAGTACGGCCGATAGAAAACGGCGGCTGACGGCTGAATTTTTGAAAAAGAACAAAAAATGAAATATTTTTAAAAAATAACAAAAAATCAAATTTTTTTTAAAAATAAAAAAAATCGAAATTTTTTGAAAAATAACAAAAATAAAATTTTTTTGAAAAATCACCAAAAAATGAATTTTTTGAAAAATCACCAAAAATGAAAATTTTATGAAAAATCACAAAAAATGATTTTTTTTCTAAAAATCACAAAAAAATGAAAAATTTGTGAAAAAATAACAAAAAATGAAATTTTTTCGAAAAATAAAAAATGATAATTTTTTGAAAAATAACAAAAATTTAATTTTTTCTAAAAATCACCAAAAATGAACAATTTTTGAAAAATAACAAAAAATAAAATTTTTGAAAAATCACAAAAAATGAAAATTTTTTGAAAAATCGCAAAAAATCACAAAAAATGAAATTTTTTCGAAAAATCAAAAAAATGAATATATTTTGAAAAATCGCAAAAAATCACAAAAAATGAAATTTTTTCGAAAAATCAAAAAAATGAATATATTTTGAAAAATCGCAAAAATCACAAAAAATGAACATTTTTTAAAAAATAACAAAAAATGAAATTTTTTGAAAAATAACAAAAAATCACAAAAAATTAAAAATTTTTGAAAAATCGCAAAATATGAAATTTTTTTGAAAAATCGCAAAATATGAAATTTTTTTGAAAAATCACAAAAAATGAAAATTTTTTGAAAAATCACAAAAATTTAATTTTTTTGAAAAATCGCAAAAAATGAAAATTTTTTGAAAAATCGCAAAAATCACAAAAAATGAAATTTATTTGAAAAATCACAAAAAATCACCAAAAATGACATTTTTTTATATATCGCAAAAAATGAGAATTTCTTGAAAAATCGCAAAAAATCACAAAAAATTAAATTTTTTTGAAAAATCGCAAAATATGAAAATTTTTTGAAAAATCGCAAAAAATCACAAAAAATGAAAAATTTTGAAAAATCACAAAAAATTAAATTTTTTTGAAAAATCGCAAAATATGATTTCTTTTTGAAAAATCGCAAAAAATCACAAAAAATGAAAATTTTTGAAAAATCGCAAAAAATGAATTTTTTGAAAAATCACAAAAAATGAAATTTTTTGAAAAATCGCATAAAATCACAAAAAATTAAAATTTTTTGAAAAATCTCAAAAAAATCACAAAAATTGAAATTTTTTTGAAAAATCACAAAAAATCACAAAAATTGAAATTTTTTTTAAAAAATCACAAAAAATGAAAATTTTTTTAAAAATCGCAGAAAATCACAAAATATGAACATTTTTTGAAAAATCACAAAAAATTAAATTTTTTTGAAAAATTGCAAAAAATGAAAATTTTTTGAAAAATCGCAAAAGATGAACATTTTTTGAAAAGTCGCATAAAATCACAAAAAATTAAAATTTTTGGAAAAATCGCAGAAAAATTAAAATTTTTTGAAAAATCACAAAATATCACAAAAATTGAAAATTTTTTGAAAAATCACAAAAAATTACAATTTTTTAAAAATCGCAGAAAATCACAAAAAATGAAATTTTTTTGAAAAATCGCAAAATATGAAAATTTTTTGAAAAATTACAAAAAATGAAAATTTTTTTAAAAATCGCAAAAAATCACAAAAAATGAAAATTTTTTAATTATCGCAAAAAATGAAAATTTCTTGAAAAATCGCAAAAAATCACAAAAAATAAAATTATTTTGAAAAATCGCAAAATATGAAATTTTTTTGAAAAATCGCAAAAAATCACAAAAAATGAAAAATTTTTGAAAAATCACAAAAAATTAAATTTTTTTGAAAAATCGCAAAATATGATTTCTTTTTGAAAAATCGCAAAAAATCACAAAAAATGAAAATTTTTGAAAAATCGCAAAAAATGAAAATTTTTTGAAAAATCTCAAAAAATCACAAAAATTGAAAATTTTTTGAAAAATCACAAAAAATCACAAAAATTGAAAAAAAATTTTAAAAATCACAAAAAATGAAAATTTTTTTAAAAATCGCAGAAAATCACAAAATATGAAAATTTTTTGAAAAATCACAAAAAATGAAACTTTTTTGAAAAATCGCAAAATATGAAAATTTTTTGAAAAATCACAAAAAATGAAAATTTTTTGAAAAATCACAAAAAATGAAATTTTTTTGAAAAATTGCAAAAAATGAAAATTTTTTGAAAAATCGCAAAAGATGAACATTTTTTGAAAAGTCGCATAAAATCACAAAAAATGAAAATTTTTGGAAAAATCGCAGAAAAATTAAAATTTTTTGAAAAATCACAAAATATCACAAAAATTGAAAATTTTTTGAAAAATCACAAAAAATTACAATTTTTTAAAAATCGCAGAAAATCACAAAAAATGAAATTTTTTTGAAAAATCGCAAAATATGAAAATTTTTTGAAAAATCACAAAAAATGAAAAATTTTTGAAAAATCGCAAAATATGAAATTTTTTTGAAAAATCGCAAAAAATCACAAAAAATGAAATTTTTTCGAAAAATCAAAAAAATGAATATATTTTGAAAAATCGCAAAAAATCACAAAAAATAAACATTTGTTAAAAAATAACAAAAAATGAAATTTTTTGAAAAATAACAAAAAATCACAAAAAATTAAAAATTTTTGAAAAATCGCAAAATATGAAATTTTTTTGAAAAATCGCAAAATATGAAATTTTTTTGAAAAATCACAAAAAATGAAAATTTTTTACAAAATCACAAAAATTAAATTTTTTTGAAAAATCGCAAAAAATGAAAATTTTTTGAAAAATCGCAAAAATCACAAAAAATGAAATTTATTTGAAAAATCACAAAAAATCACCAAAAATGAAATTTTTTTTAATTATCGCAAAAAATGAAAATTTCTTGAAAAATCGCAAAAAATCACAAAAAATTAAATTTTTTTGAAAAATCGCAAAATATGAAATTTTTTGAAAAATCACAAAAAATGAAAAATTTTTGAAAAATCACAAAAATAACAATTTTTTGAAAAATCACAAAAATGAACATTTTTTGAAAAATCGCAAAAGATGAAAATTTTTTGAAAAATCGCAAAAAACACAAAAAATTAAAAAATTTTGAAAAATCACAAAAAATGAAAATTTTTTGAAAAATCACAAAAATGAAATTTTTTTTAAAAATCGCAAAAGATGAACATTTTTTGAAAAGTCGCATAAAATCACAAAAAATGAACATTTTTTTAAAAATCGCAAAAAAATTAAAAATTTTTGAAAAATCACAAAAAATCACAAAAATTTAAAATTTTTTGAAAAAACACAAAAAATGAAAAAAAATTTAAAAATCGCAGAAAATCACAAAAAATGAAAATTTTTGAAAAATCACAAAAAATTAAAAATTTTTGAAAAATCACAAAAATGAACATTTTTTTAAAAATCGCAAAAGATGAAAATTTTTTGAAAAATCGCAAAAAACACAAAAAATTAAAAATTTTTGAAAAATCACAAAAAATGAAAAATTTTTGAAAAATGACAAAAATGAACATTTTTTGAAAAGTCGCATAAAATCACAAAAAATGAAAAAATTTTTAAAAATCGCAAAAAAATTAAACATTTTTGAAAAATCACAAAAAATCACAAAAATTGAAAATTTTTTGAAAAAACAAAAAATGATAAAATTTTTAAAAATCGCAGAAAATCACAAAAAATGAATTTTTTTTGAAAAATCGCAAAATATGAATCGCAAAATATGAAAATTTTTTGAAAAATCGCAAAAAATCACAAAAATTTTAAATTTTTGATAAATCACAAAAAATGAACATTTTTTGAAAAATCACAAAATGAAATCATTTTGAAAAATCGCAAAATATGATTTTTTTTTGAAAAATCGCAAAAAATCACAAAAAATGAAAAATTTTTGAAAAATAACAAAAAATGAAAATTTTTTGAAAAATCACAAAAATGAACATTTTTTGAAAAATCGCAAAATATGAAATTTTTTTGAAAAATCGCAAAAAATCACAAAAAATGAAAAATTTTTGAAAAATCACAAAAAATTTAAATTTTTTGAAAAATCACAAAAATGAACATTTTTTTAAAAATCGCAAAAGATGAAAATTTTTTGAAAAAATCTTGAAAAATCATAAAAAAATCTTGAAAAATCACCAAAAATCATGAAAAATGAAAAATTCACCAAAAATCATGAAAAATTATCTGTACAAACAGTAAAAAATATGTAGTGCAAAAAAATGACAGTGCAAATACAACGACAGTACAAATAACAGACAAATAAAATGACAATGTGAAATTGACAGCGATATGTACAATGAATAGGTGTCCACATAGTTGTAGGCAGTGTTGTTTCAAGTATGGATTGGCTAAAAGTCAGTGCATTCTACATATCGATGTTGTGCAGTGAGGGTATGGAAGAGTCTGTGTGTTGTGTATTAAGTGTTAATCAGCCTGATAGTCTGAGGGAACAAATTTTTCTTTAGCCGGCTGGTGCGTGACCAGATGCTGCGGAACCATCTGCCTGAGGGTAGCAGACGGTTTTGTCTGTATAATTGCACATGTTAAACTAATTTAAATTAGAAGTCCACTAAATGTTCATTAACTAAAGTCACAGCAAAAGGTGCTACAATTAATGTAGAAATGCCAAAGTTCCACTGCTTTTTCTGTGACAACTGTAGGGCTCGTCCAGGGATTGAACCCAGGACCTTTCGCATCCTAAGCGAGAATCATACCCAACGAGCCCTGAAGAAAGACCCTGCAGTGCCAAAAAAAATTCTTACTTTTTTATAAATACTTTTTGTTCTTGTTGTTTTTAGTATGTGCCACCTGGGTTGCCTTTGATGCAGTTCCTTTTAAGTTGGCTGTGCAGCACAATCCAGTGTGACCTTCAAAAGCTAGGTTCATACCCGTAGGTCAAAAAGACATGACAATGGAAAACTCTTCAGAGAAGCTGTTTTGTCATTAGGTGTACACACCAGATCGTCTGAATGCAATATGGTATAGGGATCCTTAAGTGCTGTTTTCTAGGTTAAAAGAACGTCCGGAGTCATACAACAGATATGGCAAATGCTAGTATTGGCCCAGTGGCCTAATGGATAAGGCATCACTCTTTGAAGTTGGGGATTGTGGATTCAAGTCCTGTTTGGGTTGTGTTTGTTAGGTTACATTTAAGTTGTTTGAAAAAATCCTGACTTGTCTACTCAAAGCTTAGGTGTGATGATCTATGGGCAATAGTTAGCTTCCAATTCTCAGACTTGCTGCACACTTCAATTAGGATTCATCCAATCTTGCTTGAATCTCACTGTCATGTTACAAACCTAAAAGGTTCCGCTAAGCTCTGGGAATGGAGATCTTGACTTCAAGTACCCCGTGGCTCTCAATTGACGGTCTCATGTTAGGTGGATGATGATGAAATGCAAACTAGCTGCAGAAAGGTTGTGATTTCAAGTTAATGAGAGTTAAAGTCAAGACCAGTCACACTATACACTAGAACCATACCCCAGAACCGATGAGACACGAATGTGAATGATTGCAGAAAGAAAATGTTTGGCCATTAGTTCTTATTTGATAGAATGCAAACTGTCATCGAGATCCTAAAGTGCAGTTTTCCATGCGGTAGCATCTTGTTGAAGGCGTACAAGAGATCCTTGATAGAAGATTGGTGACATGGCCCAGTGGCCTAATGGATAAGGCATCAGCCTCCGGAGCTGGGGATTGTGGGTTCAAGTCCCACCTGGGTCGTTTTTGAAAATCTCCCTTTAACTTGAGATCAGTGTTTGGTGGATGAAACACAGTAGCTGTGAAAACCTTCTTGAGATGTGTTTGCGTGTCATTAACTTCCTTGATTGGCATTCCATACTACCTGTTATGACTAAAAGGGTAACGACATACCTAACGCAAATGGCAATTTTGAAGCATGCATGGTGCCTACAGAGAAGAGACTGTGTACAAACACAAAGATGATGCTTACATATTAAGCTGGTACGTTGTTCAAGATCCATAAACAATTCTAACGACTGAATCATTAACGCTCCTTTTTTGTCTGTATTATTGTACAGGGCAGACTAATTTAGATCAGAAATCCACTAAATCTTCATTAACTAAAGTTGCTACAACTAACACAGAAACACCAAAGCATCACTGCTTTTCTGTGGAAGATGTAGGGCTCATTCAGGATTTGAACCCAAGACCTCTCACACCCAAAGCGAGAATCATACCCCTACACCAATGAGCCCAGTAGAAACACTCTGCAGTTTCAAAAAAAATTTCTGTAAAATCGGTCCAATCTACTTTTTGTTCATGTAGTTTTTGTTATGTGTGTCAGCAACTCCCTGGATTCATGTTACAGTTCACAGGCAGTATAGAAACAGCATAGTGGCCTAATGGATAAGGCATCAGCCTTCGAAGCTGGGGATTGTGGGTTCGAGTCCCACCTGAGTTGTCTTTGACGCAGTTCCTTTTAAGTTGGCTGTGCAGCACAATCCATTGTGGCTTTCAAAAAGCTAGGTTCATACCCTTAGGTCAAAAAGACATGACAATTGAAAACTCTTCAGAGAAGCTGTTTTGTCATTAGGTGTACGCACCAGATCGTCTGAATGAAATATGGTATAGGGATCCTAAAGTGCTGTTTTCTGAGTTACAAGAACTTCCTAAACCGTACAACAGATATGGCAAATGCTAGTATTGGCCCAGTGGCCTAATGGATAATGCATCAGCGTTCGAAGCTGGGAATTGTGGGTTTAAGTCCCATTTGGGTTGTGTTTGTTGGGTTAAATATAAATTGTGTGGAAAAAATCCTCACTTGTCCCCTCAAACCTTAGGCGTGATGATCTGAGGTCAATAGTTAGCTTCAAATTCTCAGACTTGCTGCACACTTCAATAAAGATTTATCCAATCTTGCTTAAATTATCCAATCACTTTACAAACATCAAAGGTTCTGAAAAGCTCTGGTAATGGAGATCTTGACTTCAAGTACCCCGTGGCTTTCAACTAATGGTCTCATGTTAGGTGGATGATAATGAAATGCAAACAAGAAAATAGCTGCAGAAAGGTTGTGATTTCATGTTAATGAGAGTGGCCTTGTGGATAAGGCATCAGCCTCTGGAGTTGGGTATTGTGGGTTCAAGTCCCATCTAAGTTGTCTTTGAAGGACCACTATAGATTTAATTACAGATCATTTCAACCAATCATTGCAATGAAAAAAAAACTGATGCATCAACACATCAAAGCACTCTCTTGCTGACATCAGGGCTTTCCTGTTGCAGTCGGGTGTGCACGTCTCCAACACCACTATAAGACGATACTATAGACATCAAAGCCCTGTAGGCCTTCCTAGAAAAACAACTGCAAGGCAAGGAAAATGAACAGGTATTGTGTATTATCATCTTGTCAAATCAAGTATTTCAGCAACACTTATGTCAAATTGTTAATAAAATGAATTAATAAATTATTGTATGTGTTTGTTGTATAGTGCTGCACTTAAAACGATTGACGAAAAACTGCACAAGGACAATGAGCGATCTGCTAAAAAGATTCAGAGTGAGCTTCTGTTTAGAATACAGTTAAAAGCATCAGTCTGCAATATTAGAAAACCAGTAAAACAACTCAGGTGGACCTATGGAAAAGCCAGGTAAGCCATTTTGAACAATGCCATGATGAAAAGATTTATTTATTTACATTAATCCATGCATCTCTTTATTTAGGCTATTTGCTTTATACGAGCTTACATGTCCTACAAATTTATTAATAGGACATACCCTATTAATAAACTGCCATGTTGTGAAACCGAAAGCAAAGTATCCAGTAAAAATTCATGTCTGGGGAGCCATATTCCATCAGGGACCTGGACCGCTAGTTGTGCTAGAAGGTTAGTTCAAATCTCTTTAATATGATTGAATCGTTTCTTTGCAGTTTCTTTATTTATATATATATATTTTTTCTATTTTCAGGAATTATGGACAGATGTTTTTACGAAGACACTATAATAAAATTCAATCAGGCTCCATACGTAAAACAACACTTTAAGAACCATATCACTTCTTCCAAGGTAGATACAGTATGTAGGCCTACTGTACCAACTGTGTGTGTGTGTGTGTGTGTACATGTTCACTGATGTGTGTGTGTGTGTGTGTGTGTTTGCACACGTTCACAGCTGTGTGTGTTGAACTTTTTTATCAATCTTGATGATTATTGAATAATGAATAAAGTTAACACATTGCTTAAAGGGCACATAGTTTACCCCTTTTTATGATTTAACATTATTATTATGGTTCTTCTGAGTGTGCCAGTTTAGGTTCAGTTCAAAACACAATCCAGATTTTTTTATTATAATGTGTTATAATGTGTCATTTTAAGGGCGTGTACACAGCTTGCTGTTTTACATTTACATTTATTCATTTAGCAGACGCTTTTATCCAAAGCGACTAAAAAATGAGGACAAGGAAGCAATTTTCACAACTATAAGAGCAACAATAAATAAGTGCTGTAGGCAAGTTTCAGGTCTGTAAAGTCTAAGAAGGAAAGCATTAGTAATGTAAGAATTTAAAAATTGTTTTATTTTTTTTGAGTACAGTTAGTGGTATAGCTAGAGGCAATTGCAAATTAGGAAGTGAAGAGGAGACTAAATAGTTGAGTTTTAAGTCGTTTCTTGAAGACAGCAAGTGACTCTGCCGTTCTGTTGCAGTAAGGGAGTTCATTCCACCAACTGGGCAGATTGAATGCGAGAGTTCGGGAAAGTGATTACTTCCCTCTTTGGGATGCAACCACGAGGCGACGTTTATTCACAGAACGCAAGTTTCTTGAGGGCATATAAATCTGCAGAAGTGGGAGCAGATAAGAGGGAGCAAAGCCAGAGGTTGCTTTGTAGGCAAACATCAGAGCTTTGAATTTGATGCGAGCAGCAACTGGCAGCCAGTGCAAACGGGTGAGTAGCTGAGTGACATGTGCTCTTTTCAATTCATTAAAGACCACTCGTGCTGCTGCGTTCTGGAGTAGCTGAAGGGGCATGTTGCTTCACATGAAAATTAGTTCCAAATTCAGTCGGTCGGTGAGTAAATGAATATGATAAATGAGAACACACAGGCATGTGCGTATAGAGATACAATGTAATGCTGTACAGTAACGTGTCATTTGTTTGTTTCAGTTGTCTTTATTTGAATGGTTTCGTGAGGATGTGATCGTGTGCTTTATCTGCCTGATTCCCTCTGAAGTGGGCGGGTTGTGTGACGTTCGATTTGGGGGACATTATGGGGGCGGGGTTTGCGTGACGTGCTGCGAGCTACTAGCCCGAGAGTGGAAACACAACATGATTTCGGCCTCACTGCTTAACCTCCTGGGCAATTGGCCCACCGCGATTAAATCCCTGGCCTCACCTCACAGCCTCGAAGTCCAATGCGCTATCCATTGCACCACAGAGCCTGAGTGCTCTCCTGCCTCAAGCACTATTGCACAGAAAGCACTTTTTGATACTCTCTGGCCCATAAAAGCACAGCTCACTGCGGACAAGGTGTAACCCCTCTTAGTTCGTATATGTTTTTTATAATGATCACGCGGAAGCAGTTTACCTGAACAAGTTCACTTTATAGTGTTCTTCAAAAGAAAACAGGGCTCCACACAGACAATAAGTGTACCAGGGCTGGTCATCAGAAAAAGTCACTCTCAACAGCTCTTGAACAATAAGTGAACTCACAAAATGGCCGGCTGACTCCACCCATTATACCCCCTTTCTCACCTGTAGGTGTCTGTTTTTTCCCATGATGTATTACACAGTTAAACAGTGAACATAGGATTTTGATTTAATTAGAACAGATATTTTTAACAAAAACAAGCATTTTGACACCATTCATACTTAATTAACAGTTTCATTTTTTCCCCCGTTACATTCTCCCCCACTGAATGTGACAAAATGCGACAACCTTAGAAAACACAAAAATGCAGAAATTAACCTAGAATTGCCGTTCTTAGCACAAAGCTTTTGATCCGTTTTATCTGTTCAAATCAAGAACTGATAGGAAAAAGTGCTGCGCATATCACTCATCCTGATCATGACCCAAATGAAGTGCCTTTAACACATCACACTTGCAATTCATTTCACTTGTTTTCTACAAAGACAGATACAAAAAAAAAACGTTTCTGACATATCAATGTTTCAAACTAACAATTGAAAAGGACCATTTTCCCAGACTTTGTTTTCTTGAACTAAACAAGGTCTGTTGACTCATGGAAGAAATAAGGCGATTTACTGGCTTCAACAATCTGCCAAACCTTGATCTGCGACCCGGTAACTCAGTGCTATCCACATTACCATTAGGAACAAAACCAGGATCGCAGGCATTAGATGTTTCAGGTCCGTCCTGAAGAATCATAGAATCCATTGAAGTATTCTCAGAACCCGCATTATGCGATGGCACATCAACAATTTCAGCTGAGTTGGAAATGTCACACAACTCATTCATCTGAGAAACATTGTCAGCTACGACAAGACCATCACCATTGTCCATTGAATCATCAGAACTTACTGAGCATCCATCAGAAACGCCATCATCTACAGAAATCACACTCCCATCATCATTTGTCCCCACAGCGTCACATACAGGGAGAAAATTGACACACAAAAGCAGGTTTCTGTGCACAACTTTGACTTGATCAGACACAGGGTGTTTTATTTTGTAAATGTGAGTTTTAGGATCGCAATCAACCACAGTATACACTACACTGTCCCACTTGTCTGAGAGTTTACGTTTGCCACGCTCGCTCTTGTTGGCTAAAAGAACCCTATCACCGACTTCAATATTCACACCCTTATTTCTGCGATTGTATACGCGGGCTTGGTGAGACTGTTCTTTAGAAGCATTAGTCTTTGCAACAGCGAGAGCATCCTTCAAGTCCCTACTCAGAGACTCAACGTACTTGGGAAGAGCAACATTCAAATCATCCCTCAACACACTCTTAAAGATGACATCAATCGGTAGTCTTGGGACACGGCCGAACATTAGATAGAAGGGAGGAAATCCGGTAGTCTCATGTGAGGTACAATTGTAAAGAAAAGTCAATGTGTGAAGCATCTGAGGCCAGTCATGCTTTGGTCGAGGCTCAAGAGTTCTGATCATATTTCCCAATGTTCGGTTGAATCGCTCAGCGGTGCCATTCCCCATTGGGTGATATGGGGTAGTTTGAGACTTCTTAACCCCTGAGAACTCAAGCAAGTGTCTGATTAGCTCGCTACAGAAATTGGCACCCTGATCAGAATGAACACGCTCTGGGAAACCATAGTAGCAGAAATAGTTATCCCAGAGCTTCTTTGCCACCGACCTAGCAGATTGGTTTGAACAACAGAAGGCATGGGCAAGTTTAGTAAAATGGTCGGTGACCACTAATACGTCAACTGATTTATTTCGTGAATCCTCTGCCGTCCAAAAGTCAATGCAGACCAATTCAAGTGGAGCAGAGGTCTTAACACTTTCCAGTAAAGCCCGTCCCTCTGGCTCCGGTGTCTTCGCAAGCACACAACGACTACACACTTTCACATACTCACGTACATCCTGCTCAATACCTGTCCAATAAAAACGCTGACGGCAAAGGTGAAGAGAACGATACTGCCCTTGGTGTCCAGCCTCATTGTGACAACCCCTCAACACTTCATCTTTGAGTGACGAAGGCACTACAAATTGGAAACGTTTATGATGTGTCAAAGGATCTTTTGAAACACGATACAGGACACCGTCAGCCAAGGATAGTTTGTCCCACTGCTTTAAAAGCTTCCGTACAGCACTAGGCTCTCCCATACGCACACGCCTGGAAGGCCTACGTTTCTGGTCAACATAGAACATCACCCTCTGCAAATGTTCATCCTGGAGTTGACTGTCTCTTAGTTCTTGGTGAGAGTATGAGGGAAGAGCATCAAATCCAACCTCTGTGATTTGTTGGACAAATCCAACCAAAGGAATAGTTCGCATTCTCGTCGCATCATCCCAAGAAAGATGATTGGAGAAAACAGCAGCCACCTCAGCATTCGAAAAACTACCCAGCCCATCCACGTCTGGAGCAACCCCCATCCGATCACAAGCATCCGCCGAGACCTCCACACTGCCGACCACTCGCTGACAGGCATTGGACAATCTGAAAAGATCCTGGACAGTAGCGCAAGTATAATTTCTTGACTCTGCAATAAGCTTTTCATAAGGTTCCCTGACTATGCGATGGCTAACCCGACTGTCAACAAAAGGTTGCCTACTCAAAGTGTCAGCTATTGTGTTCTTCGACCCTGGAACATATTTGATGTCAAACTCAAAGGCAGCGAGTTTAGCCACCCACCTTTGTTCACAGGCGTCGAGCCTAGGTTTGGTCAAAATGTGCGTCAATGGGTTATTATCTGTCCAAGCTGTGAACCGATGCCCTTTTAGCCAGTGGCTAAACTTGTCACATACAGCCCACTTAAGCGCGAGGAACTCAAGACGATGTGCTGGATATCTGGCTTGTGCTCTGGACAGTGATCTACTCGCAAACGCAATGGGCCGAGCCCTGTTCTCTCCAGGACTCAGTTGCGAAAGCACAGCACCCAACCCTTCAGTTGATGCATCAGTGGCAAGAATAAAAGGTCTAGAAAAGTCAGGGTGTGCAAGGACTACATTAGACAGAAGGGCTTCTTTCAATGCAGACAAAGCTGCCTCACATGCTGGAGACCAATCATCGGGAGTAAGCTTTCTAGTTATAGAAACCCCTCTGCGTCCCACTCCTCTGGCCTTCCTAACTCCACTAGTCAAAGCAAAAAGTGGCCGTGCAAGGGACGAACAATTCTCAATGAACCTTTGGTACCACATGACGAGACCAAGAAAGGACTGAATTCTCTTAAC